GAGAATATTTGGATTATTAGAATTGGAATTTCAGAGTCTTTGTTTGCGTTCCCAATTTCAAATCGATGCGGCACATGAAATTCATTATGATACATGACGATTGTTGGAACAACTATTTTTCTTCTTGACAACTGTTTTATTCTCCTTATAGACATGTCCTCTACGTGGCTTAGTTCTTACACGAAATCAAATTTTGTTATCTTCCAACAAATTTTTATCCAAAACGCTCCAAAATTGAAGTGTGTAGGCCACTTATAATAATGTACAGCGGTAACTCAAGCTCAACATCTAGCTATTTTGCTGATTACAATGGGACAACCGATATTAGTGAGGAACTTTTTTCAGAATTTGCTGTCAACACAACAAACTCTTCAACCCATCCAGATTTCGGCTGTCCGCCAAATCATATGCCAATGGCAAATATATTTTTCATGGTCATGTATTGTTGCATAGGTTGCGTTGGCTTGTTAGGCAATACTCTAGTTATATATGTGGTGTTGGGAGAAAAAAGATTGCAAACGGTTACGAACAACTACATTTTGAATTTGGCTATTGCAGACGAATGCTTCTTGATGGAATTCCATTTCTGATTGCCACAATGAATATGGGCCATTGGGTATTCGGTGGTGCGATGTGCAAAGCATATTTGGTTAGTACATCGATTACACAGTTTACATCGTCGATATTCTTGTTTATTATGTCAGCCGATCGTTATATAGCCATATGTCATCACATTTCCTCGCCCCGGTTTAGAACACCCTGTGTATCCCGGGTAATTTCACTAATGTGCTGTTGTAATAAAGCTTGGTGGTGTTCAGCATTGATCATGTTACCCATGAATCATGATACATGACGATTGTTGAAACAACAGTTTTATTCTCCTTATAGACATGTCCTCTACGTGGCTTAGTTCTTACACGAAAACAAATTTTGTTATCTTCCAACAAATTCTTATCCAAAAACGCTCCAAAATTGAAGTGTGTTCTTGAAACCATTTGCGAAAATATGTGAATAATTCGCGAATCTTTACTATAAAACCGATGCAAAAACAAAGGGTCGTCAGACTAATTTGGAGATTCATCTCAAAAAGTTAATTTAATAACCAACAAAAATGGTGTTCTTTCGCAGATTTTTTGTACTCGCTCTGATCGTTTTGGTGGCCATAACTCTGTAAGCGCTCAACATTCATAGATGATTTGAATTTTATTCAGCATTAAACAAATACTTTTGGATTTAATATTTTTTACTGTATATTTTTCATAGGCCAATCAATGTCGCTGGGACCGGGTATGTTTATTTCTTAGTTTATTTCATTTGCAAATATCTTTTAGAGTATCGAATAATAATTTTTTTCGAAACTTTAGAGGGCATTATAAGGGGGAATCTTCTGGGACCGGGTATGTTTATTTCTTAGTTTATTTCATTTGTAAATATCTTCTAGAATATCGACTTATAATTTTTTTCGAAACTTTAGAGGAAATATTAAAAAGGAATCTCCTGTCACACCTGAAAAACATGAATCTCCGGCCTTAAATCCTTATGCGCTAATTGAAAGGCTTAACTCATTGAATGTAAATAGCGAGAATCAAGCTATACTGAACCATTTGCCATCGGAAGAAACACTTGTTAAAGGAAAGGATAGAGCACCAGAAGAAACGCAATCAGCATCAAAAAGAAGAAGAGGTTAGAGAATAGTGAAAAATCTATTGCTGAAATGACCTGAAAAAATGTTGGAAAAGAATTACATTTTGAACATGAAAAGAAATAATAAAATTGTATCGAAAAACTATGTATGGCTTCATATTATTTATTAAATATTTAACCCTCTAATGCATTAATTTTTCCCAGGGCTGGGAGTACTGGTACTTGGTTGATTTTTGGCCATGGATATTTAAAAAAATATTCATAATCCTAGATTCCTCATGGTTTAGTCAGGAAATGCGATTGAAATAAATCAGAAACAATCAATTCCATTGTTTAAAAGTGTCAGAAATGTGTCTAGTTTCGAGTTCGAATAATTTATTTTGTCAAATTTTTGTTTTTGCGCACATTTTTGTTTATAACTTTACAATCACACTACATGGACAAATATTGCCAAAGACAAAGATGAAGAAAAAACATTGACGAATAAAAATTCTCTTTGAAGCAATGTGATCCGATGCACGGTTTACGTTCTACAGGCATTCAAATGTTGCCCGACTAGAGGCGGTTGTATGCATTAGAGGGTTAAGTTCGACGTCAGAAACATTAAACGCAGTTCGAAAATGAAAATCATGTTGGATTCCGTGCAATGCACGAACAAACTAATTAATGGTCCACATATATTCTGTATTTCCTTGTACATTGGAAACTCAGATTAATGGAATTTACAATTCAATGTGTAAATTACACAAGTTAATGGGTTTCTAATCATCCTGTTGTCTACTGCAGCTGACGTGAGTTTAGTCAATTAGTTTACAACAAAATGATATCAACGACATAATAGTAGAAACCAAACGATTTATTATAATGGATGCACTATGATGCATCAAATGGAATCACACAGTTTGCGACCATTCAATATCTCGATTTGTCATTGGTCGGAGCTTTATATCAATATGTTATTAACGTGGCTGATCATCGAAATACTTTTCATTGAAATTGCGAAAGGTTTTGATCAAAAAGTTACAGTAGCGTTTTCGGAAAGAAAACCCTTTGTAGTTGTCGATCGCAACGGTGCGCTAAAGGGTTTGGATGTGTCGAGATAATTGAGAATTTTTCTAAAATGTTCAACATTCAAATTGATTACGTTCCAGTTAATTCATCACCAAATTTGCTTGTGAAACCAGCAGAATCAAGGTAAGCACTTGTGATTGTCTTCAAATAACAAATATAGGAAGTTGATGTGTACATAGGTGCATTAGATGAAAGTATTGTAAAGAATAAACGCCACGTTGCCTCACATGTATATTATCGTGATAAATTTATATGGTGTGTCCGGAGAAAGCAGTCCATTCCAATTTGGCAAAATCTATTCATGTAAAGATCCACTTTTATAAATATGTTGTGCAATAACGTTGGCCGTATGTATCGCTTTAGAATACTATTTCCAGCCATTTGAAACCTTAAAATGGGACTGGAATCGAATAACAATTGCTGCACTCCGTTTTTTTTGTGGTTATACATTCAGTTTGAATCCAAAATTCATTCCACATCGAATTTTTTTTATTTGTTGCATGTTCGGAATGATGTTATTTGCCATCATAATTCTTGCATTTGTTTTAAATTTTCTGACGAGTTTAATTTATGAAAATCAAATTGAGTCGATACAAGAAGTTGTGGAAAACTCATTGGGGATGAATTTGCACTGCAGCATCTACTAAAACAAAATGAAGTGAGTTGTTATTTGGTATCATAAATTATTGAATCCTATTTTGAATATTTTTCAGACATACCCATCGAACATGGTCAAAGATTTTGAAGCCTGTGGAAATATGGATTTATGCTTGGGACAACTTCAACAGAATGCCAAACTGGCAGTAACAGTCTCACATGCATATGCTTTGAGTAGGAATTTTGTTGCGCCGTTTTATTGTTTCGGAAATTCGGATATTATTTACGAGTATGCATTAACATTTTTGGTCCACAACGATTTTCATTATTACAATGAATTGAATGAATTAATTGGAGTTGCGAGTGCAAGTGGTCTTATCAAAAAATGGCATTCAGACGCTAGCCAAATAAACACACAATCTAAGGACATAACAAAATTTTACATACATTTGAAAATGGCCAATATCTTTGGAATAATTATTGTTTTTTTAGTTCTCCATATCTTGACCATTTCTGTAATTATTCTTGAAATTGTAATTTATAAAAAAGCTAGAATGCATAATAACTCAAAGTTTTGGAATCGCTGCGAAATGGTCATTCATCCAGATCGATTCTTTTTGCTTGAAAACAAATCAATCTCCGATGCATTCAGCTTGAATTAGTGAATTTTTCTTGAGCGTTTTGACAATAGGATAACACTATGACGGTTTTTGGGGAATCCAGGGCCCCAAGTGAAATTTATTTATTTTTTATTTTTTTTTATTAAACACCGCCAAGCTCTGGCTGAATATAATGTGGGTTTTGATTGAGGTATGGCAGGAAAAGAGTGCAAGACTGTTACATATTTAAAATAATAAACAATTAGTAGCAGTAGGTTTCGATAACTATCAGTTCTCGCCTCGTTAAAAACCTGGCTCTTTTCGTAAATTATGCGGTAATCACAATAGTAGGAACATGAAAACGAAAACAGTCATGCAACCAAGATGGAAATGCCTGATATTTGTCTATGGCAAACGGTCCAAGATAACCTTTGGTAAACGTTTCCAAGGGACAAAGGCTATGTGAAGCGTTTAATTACGCGTTAATTTGAGACTCTAGGACAGCAAAAGTCGTCGTTCAATTTATCCCAGTAGATAAATTGACGAGAAGTTTTACGCAGAGATGGAGTAAATGTATATCAATTCGTTGAATTTACTGTACTCGGTACAGTACGGTATATTTACATTGATTTACCTTTGCGTTAAATAACGCGTCCGCTCTCACTAAAATATGAGTTGACGCATGTGCTCCGCGCGTTCAACGCAAAGGTAAACGTTTAAGTATATACCGATACACATTTCCATACACTTGCGGTAAACGATCAACCATCTCTGGTTTTACGTCTGTAAAGGCAGATCCATGTTGATTGCAGAGTTAGAGATGTCAACGGACACGGACAAAAATTCGGACAATAGTGTCCGTCCGTCCGAAAACCGAAAAAAAAATTCGGACGTCCGGCCCGAATGTCCGAAAACCGAAATTTTTTTTCGGACGTCCGGTCCGAATGTCCGAAAACCAAAAAAAATTTTCGGACGTCCGGTCCGAATGTCCGAATTTTTTTTTCGGACGGACGGACGGACAAGGGGTTTGTCCGAACCTTTCAAATTTTTTCTGACGTCCGAAGTTTTTTCGGACGTCCGAAAATTTTACGGACGTCCGAAAAAAATTCAAAGCCAAAAAAAAATATTCGAGCCAAAAAAAAATTCAAAAGAAAATTTTCTCGGCTCCAATGATTTCTTTCTAATCCCACAATTGATCCGTTGCGACAAACAAATTCCCTCAGAATATTTTAGTTTCAAAGTGCAACAACCAACGTAAAAACGTTTACCAAAAAGTGTAAACCAACTAATATACAAACTAATATATTTTTTTTTGGCTCGAATATTTTTTTTGGCTTTGAATTTTTTTCGGACGTCCGTATAATTTTCGGACGTCCGAAAAAACTTCGGACGTCCGAAAAAATTTGAAAAGTTCGGACAAACCCCTTGTCCGTCCGTCCGTCCGAAAATAAATTCGGACATTCGGACCGGACGTCCGAAAAAAAATTTTGGTTTTCGGACATTCGGACCGGACGTCCGAAAATTTTTTTCGGTTTTCGGACATTCGGACCGGACGTCCGAATTTTTTCAAGAAATGTTCGGACGGACGAACGGACAAAATTTTGTCCGTTGACACCTCTATGCAGAGTGCATTGAGTTGACATGGACTATGATTTGAAACGTAACTAGAGCATTTGATGCTATTTGATAAATAATTCAAATTTGATTTCAATGATAAGAATATTAAGTCGCCAACTCGTGGATGACTTTAACAAAGAACAAAATGAATTTACAATAAATAAGTGTAAACATCACAGAAAGGTATCATCATTTCAATACATATGGAAGGAATGTACGGAAAATAATTCGTCAGAATTTTAGTATTTATTTTTGCTGCGTGATTTGTGTGAGCTCAGTTGAATACCGCGCGGGTGGTTGGAAATTTGCACTCAGCCCCGCTCATGTTTGTTGCAATCAGCGGCATCCCAAAGAAAATGGCACACGGGCAATCTGTGTTGTCCTTGATGGGTTCGTCCGCTTGAGATCATGGGTCGGGTTTAACGGCAACATGAAAATCGTAATTCCATAATTAATGTGTATAGTATCTACGTGTTCTCGTAGAGAACATATACAAAAAAATGAGGTTACCTGGATGAAAAATTGACGAGGCGGCCAGGTAGTCATTTGAGTTTGCAAGCGATCCAAAAGTGGTGTCCGCCATTTTGCGAACCGATGATGCAAAATTCGTCTTCGAGGTAGCTGTTGTGAACAATTGTGGCACCATGTTCGCCATTTTGCATATTTGAGGAATTGGAGCCTCACTCACCAACTTCATGTGCTTGTCATTGACCTTGAATTGCTCACTGTGTCTCAACGAACGGCCATGATGGAATGAGACTTGGTCACTAACTGTTGGACAGTTAGCGTTACCGTTGATGATGTCGAAGAAAAATGTCAATGACGCGATGACACGTCAACGGCGAAGACTAATCATGTTCAAGTCTGACAATCGCTGCTCATACGGTGTGATTGAGTATTGGTTATGCACGGATGGGTATTCTCGACGAGCGTACATAGTGAATTGGCGTTGCACGGATTCGATTTTGTCGCTGTGAATTTTGTGGAATGGAAGCCATACCATAGCGCAGTAGTCGACGTGAGATTGAACCAATGCAAAATACAGCGATTTCGATGTGTTTGGCAAAAGATAGCTTTCTGTCAATTAGAACACCCAAGTCCTTATGTTCAGTCAATTTGTCGAAGGTGTGGTCGCCATAGGTGTAGCTTTTATCCAAATGCTCACGTTTCTTGAAGATAGATAGTACTGCACATTTTTTGAGGTTAAGGTGCAGCAAATTCACATCACATCAGTGTTTAAGTTTGTCGAT